TCATTTCTCTAGTAACCACTCATTCACATGGACTTGTATGGCAGGAGATCTGCATAATCTGAAACTAATAATAAACACATTTATTTATTATAATAAAAAATGCATAATCATTGATATGATGAACTTTTTTCTAAGGTTTTTTCTAAGGTTTATGGAAGGAGTCATCAGTGTCCGTGTGGTTTTTAAGTAACATACCAAGTTGTGTTTGTGAGGCTGGTGAGGGAATGACTGTTTATAACAGGAACCAACTAGTCTCATGGATATTCCACAACATTAAATGTAACTATAAATGGATCAAAAATATTATGTCATTCTTTTATAAAATAACAAATGTAAACGTTGGCATACTGCTGTGGTGTAAGAGGAATAAAACAGGGCTTGGATTTCGGCACGGGATTGCGGGGATTGCGCATGATTTAAACGATTCCCGCAACTTTTATAATGCGAGAAATTCCCGCACAAATGTATTCGCTTCATCTCAGATCAAATTATGAAATACATCAACAGACGCGAGAAAGGAAATCACCGGTTCAAGCAGTCTGTCTTTATTTTAGAATCGAATTTCGCAAACAGCGCTGCTCCGGCCATCTCTGACTGGCGTTGAGCCCTGTAGCGCATCGGCGTGCTCTCCGTGGCCTGCGGCGCACTGATCTTATTCACACAGGGCTGTGTGACGCGCTCTAATATTCTGAGTCATAATGAGCTGCTTGTGAAGATAGTATCGGCTTCCAAATTATATTATTTTAATCCCGAAATTCAAACATTCAATGCTGTTTTGCTCTTTATAGAGTGTGAGCGGATAGATCGCGCCTGCCGACTCAACACAGCAGCAACGAAGCGCGAGTAAATCATCTCCCTGTCTTAAAATGCGAATTTTATCGAAAGTTCAGTATTTAAAAACAGTCTCCTGAAACTGGAATATATGAAATTCACTGATTCTGAAAGGCATTAATATATAGTTTTAATACAGTTTTTAATGTCAATTTGGAGGAGAGCATGACAAATTTTTGTTGTTAAGCTGTTTTGAAAACCACCATACATTAAAATCTGTAGACATAAATAAATGAAGATTATTAACTTAGCCCGATGTGTCAAGATATGTGACCCATGTAAGGAGGGAAATTCCCCCCCAGTTTAAAAAATGAGATTCAGGCTCTGTAAAACACTTCAGGATGTGCACTTATTGGAAAATAATTAATGTTGGAGTGGTAACTCCAAAGTAACTCTTTGGTCCCTTAATTATTTTCCTATAACAGCACACCCTCAGGTGTATTATTCCTCGCCTAAAACTAGTGCACGATCATAGCTAAAACGATTGCCTAAACTCAAATATTCAAATCATGATTATCAAATTGCCAATATCAGATTGCCTTTTTTTTTTTTTTTGGTTTTTGCGTTTTACTTCAGCAGGGTTGTGCTTTCCTCTAAGCAATCTGGTGCATTTTTTTTTTTTTTTTAAATGAAGTTTGCGAGTAGTAAGAGGAGTTTTCTTACAGGATCTTCATCATTATATTTTGTTTTAATCCACCGTTGTGTATTTCTCGTCAGTTGGTTGGAATTGTAATTGAGCCATATTGACTGGGAAATATTTCCTCAGGAGTTTTTATGGTTGCAAAGTTCACACAAAGACGTCTTTCGGTCTCCATCTCAGTTATACGTAGCAGAAACTGTGTAGTAGTTGATGAAAGGAAAGATATGAGCATTTGTTGAAATCTGATTCAGAGCATACTGTTTACACGAGCACTCGAATAATCTGATAGCTGCAACTCTAAATGTAAATGTGAATGAAAACACATTTGGTGGTTTAGCTTTTTGGGTTATTAAGTGTGTGTGTGTGCGTGTGTGTGTGTGTTTTAATGTAGGTGCTAAGTCAGGTACACCCCAAGCTGTCATCTCAGGAGGAGGCTCTGCAGTACATCGAAGAGCTGATTCTGCTGCTACTGAGCATGCTCTGTCAGGCCCAACCTCGCACCGTGCAGGATGTGGAGGTAAACTTGTACACACACACACGCGCACACACACACACACACACACACACACACACACACACTTGCTGTATGTGTATGCTTCTGTATCTGTATGTTTCCCACTGCCGCTTCCAGACAACTTGCAGATGTGCTGCAAGCACGCTCTTCTGAGCGAATCACCGCGGACGCTAATGCGGACGCTGTCGTTCTTGTAGGAGATAAAATGTCAATAAGTGTTCTGCCAGCTCGATTGATTACTCAGGTTCTAACACGCCTTGCAGAAGAATTTGATGCATTAGTAATGGTAATGGAAAACAGATTTACCAGAAAGCGTTTCTTTCCTCGAGGTGGTGAAATACAGGAAATAATGTGAAATACTGAAAAACAAGCGTGACTAAAACATGCTGGAGCATTTTCAAGACACGTTCTGATGAAAACCGCGTTATTTGTTTCATAAATACGCACAAAAAAAGTCTATCTTATCACATCATCACTTGCTTTTGTATTGTGCTCTGCCTCGCTTTACTTTGCGCTTTACATTTTTGTACACTTGTACTGCCTAACTTATTTTAACAGTATTACTATTGTTTCTATAGTACGAGCTAGTGGACATGAAACATGAAAAAATCTCGTATCACGATACTTGAAGATGATACAAAATGTGTCACGTTATATAGCAGAACAATAGTGCATTAAAAAAAAATGAAATTTTATTTCTATAATGTCTAAAAAGGATTTTATAAAAAAAAAAAAAAGATACTAAATCAATTAAATAAAAATGAAAAATAGGTTTGAATAATTTTCATAAATTCTGATAAATAAATACATTTTTATAATTTTAAAGGTTTGTTACAAATTTTAATATCAAATCAGGTGTCTAATCAGAGTTTTCAAAGTGATTGCTGTTAAAAAAAAACCTGTTCAAAAATGATATCACAATACCCACAATATCACAAAAAACGTTATCACAGTATTGATGATATATATTCATATTGCCCAGCCCTAGTAACATCTCACAGGACCACAAAAGGATTAGAAATGTGTGCAGTTGTTAATCTCGGTAAGGAGATGTTTATTTCTCATTTTTGAGAGGAGTCTCCAGTGTTAGTGCTTTCCGGTTTCTCAGTAAAATGACAAGAAGGTGAGGGAACGGCGGTTTATAGCTGCTATAACCTAACAGGAGCTGGGTTTTTGGATTTTTCAACAACATGAAACGTAGCTAAAAATGGATAAAAAATATTCTTTTCTAAATAAACAATTATAAGCGTTTGCAGATTGCTGTTGTATAAGAGGAATGAAATGCTTGTGCTGTTTTAGGAAAATGATCAGCTTCGGAGTGTTGACAGTAATTCCACTTAGCTCCAGGTCGTTGATTATTTTCCTACAATCTTAATCCATGCATTAAAAATAAAGATTTTTGTCCTTCACTGATTTGTGACTGTTTGCTCACTGACCCATTTCTCAACTCTTTCTGTGCTTTCTGTGTTTCCGATCCATTTCCGCGCGCAGATGCCTCGCGTGAGCTGGAAAGGTGCTTTATTTGTGGTGCTGTCACATGTCACACATCACTAGCACAAACCGTGTGTTTTTTTTATTTTTTTATTTTTTATTTTATAAAGATCTCGTTCATCTTCTATTCCTTTTGGGCCGCTTGTATCCCGTGTTCCTTTTATTCTACTCCTCCTTTTCCATGGTCATCTCTTCCCTCATCTCTTTTTCGCTTTAATCTGCCTCTCATGAGCTGAGTCAGCTTCATTCACCTGTTCTCGTACGTCTCTCTGTGCGCCCGGGTCGCTTTCAGAAGGATGGACCACTTTTTGAAGTTTTTTTAACGAGATGCAAAAGTGAATGAAGTCGTCGTTCTTGGTGTCACTGTCTCTGTGTGCTTTTGGCAGGAGCGAGTCCAGAAGAGTTTCCCTCACCCCATCGACAAGTGGGCCATTGCGGATGCCCAGGCGGCCATTGAGAAGAGGAAGAGGAGGAACCCTCTCGCTCTGCCTGTGGATAAGATTCACCCACTTCTGAAGGTGCAGCACTTTCAGATTAACCTTCTAACACTTCCTAAGTATTGCTTTGTAGAGAAATCTTTCCTTCATTGTTCAGGGTGGACAAGGCATGTCCTCGTAGAACGTCCACTGTGTTGCCACATTTCCGCTTGCCCTGTAAATATGATTTCCCAGGCTAAAAAGTGATGCAGCAGGTGGTGAGATTCAAACAAGAAGAGAGCGTAGTATAGTTACAGGATACCTTATGGGAGCTACGGTTAAATACGAACAACCTGAATCTGGTTGTCATAAGCGTCTGGACTAGACTTTTGTCAATTTGCCTAAAACAGAAGTATGTCAAGCTATATTCACGATACTAAAATATATATATATTCTAAAAATAATAATTTTATGTTTGCTTAAAGAAGTGCCAGCAAAATAGATTATTCTTCAATTACATTTTTATTTAAAGTCTGCAAAAAGAAATATTAACCGCATCATATTTACTTGAATAAAGAGATGCCACTGATCCGATACTCAGGATGCAGGACCAGGATCCGGTCCAGTAGCGCAAAAGATTGGAACTGGATTTGGAAAATATATATACATTTTTTTTTTAAAATCTGGAAATGCTTACATTTAAAGAGACATGACATGTATTTTTTGTTAGGATTGCTTTTTAGTATGTTTTACTAAAAATTTAAAATAAAAATATTCGATGGGTGTCGATATTGGTTGATACCCAAGGTTTCAGTAATATTATCATTATAACGAAAGCATGGTGTTGTGCCATTTCTACATGCAAAAATATTTCACCGTGCTATGCTTTAATTCTGAGTCACTGTGGAGTTGGTCAGTGAGAAAAGTATGAAGATACCCACAATATCTTAGAAAGTTGTATTGTTGTATAATTTATCACAGTATTATTATCATTTACATTTATGGCGTTTGGCGGACGCTCTTATCCAGAGCGATTACAGTTATCTCATTTATACAACTGAGCATGTGGGGGTTAAGGGCTTTGCTCAGGGGCCCTGCAGTGGCAGCTCGGCAGTGCTGGGATCTGAACTCTCAACTTTCTGATCAGAAGTCCGACGTCTTAACCACTGAGCTACCACTTCCCCCCTTATGAGCAAGTTTACATTCATTACTCTCATAACTACACAACTTTCATGTTAGTTTCACTGAATAATGGGCTTTAAGATGAATAAGAGAGTAGTATGCTGAGGTTGTGGTTAATTGTTACTACACTTGATCTTAGCCAAAAGGCCGAGAAGCGATTAATTGTTCAAAGTTAATTGTTACCAGATCCCACCTAGCAAGGTCCTTGCCTTGGTACATATTATCTGGCCTCATGTTGGTAAATGATTAATCACTTGCTAAAATTTTTATTTAAGAGGTGCACTGTGGGCTAGTATATAATGAAATGGTCGTTACAGTCTGGCATCCCAGCTGCTCCAGATGTGAACTCCATAACAAAACCGACCTCTCTTAACTGTTAGCGTGGGACTTTCCATCTCAGCACTCCTCATATCAGGCACCAGAGGGAGCAGCGACGGAGCCGTAACGCTCTCTGGTGACTAAGCATAAATCCAGTAAGCTGGTGTTTTGAAGCTGCTTTCGCTGCCAATTACGCGGCAGGAAAAGAATGCAGCTGGGTGGAGAGGTCTGCTTTGGCCTGAAACAATCGTTGTTTTTACCATTTATGAAACTCAGTGTGGAAAATTTTCATGTGTAATCATGCCCTCGAACACACTGATAGGATAACAAGCATGCTCGCACTGACTCTGTCTGTGTACTCTATGGCAGGAGGTACTAGGCTACAAAATAGACCACCAGGTGTCTGTGTACATCGTGGCGGTGTTGGAATACATCTCAGCGGACATCCTGAAGCTGGCTGGAAACTACGTACGAAATATACGGCACTATGAGATCTCTCAGCAAGACATCAGTGTGGCCATGTGCGCCGATAAGGTACACACACTAAATCCTTGCGTGTCAAAGCTATATAAATAGATTGTGTGTGCAAATATTTCTAAATGCACCTACCACAAAGGTATAGGTGTATAATTACTTATTTCAGATCATCTCCTGCCCACCACAGTGTGTTACCCACCACTGAGCAGTGTATGAATATTTGGACAATAGCTATATACAGCTATAGATACAGCTAGATACACAAAACAATATATATATAAAGAATAACACACTTGGGGTGCGCTGTTATAGGAAAATAATCATCAAGGAGGTGGTATGATGTGGCCTGACATGATGCAGAGTTACTGTAACGAACCCAAAATTGATTTTTTTTTTCCAAGAACAGCATGACACAAGAAGTGTTCTATACCACATCAATTTACCATTTTTTTTTTTTTTGTTAAAGAATAACATGAAGTTTTTATCTGTTTATAGCTACATTTATTGTTGTGGATCGTCCATGAAACAAGTTAGTTCCTGTTATTACATACGTTATAGCTACAAACAGTCATTCCCTCACCAGCCTCTCTTTTCTAACTCTCTCTTGAAGGTAATAAGTCCTAAAAAAAAAAAAAAAAGCAACTTGTTACCAAGAAAAGTGCAAAATCCTCCATCATGAAGACTTTACCGACTGTTACACAGTCCTGACACTGGAGACTCCTTTCATAAATGTTCAAATGAACGTCTTCTTACAGAAAACTTCTCCATATCAACAGTTAAACACGTTATTTATTTATTTTTTTATGCATTTGCGGTACAGGTTCTTGATTGCCTTATTCATTTTAGAAACAAGAATGTATTAGAGCAACTCAGTCATATCAAGCCATTTACCTTCGACCTCCTGCAGGTGTTGATGGACATGTTCCATCAGGACGAGGAGGACATCAGCGGCTTCCCCCTCATGGACGAGGAGCCGTCAGCGTCTGAGGCGCAGACCTACTACGACCTGGTGAAAGCGTTCATGGCTGAAGTGCGTCAGTACCTGAGAGACCTGAACCTCATCATCAAGGTGTTCCGCGAGCCATTCGCCACCAACATCATGCTCTTCTCACACCACGTGAGTCCCGCGATTGCTGACACACTCGGCTTTTCCTGCTTTTGGCTACGGCAAAGTAAAAAGGGTTTTAGGTATCCAGGTCATTTTATAATATCTAATAGCAGCTTTTATCTTTTGATGCTTTATCTCAAGCTAGGCAATTATATTATAATTATATTAAATCATGATTCTCAAAGGTCGTAGTACTTTTGTTTAATGTTTACAAAAATAAACGTATTTTCATTTTTACATTAAAACATTATTTAAAAGAAATTTAAAAAATTTTCACATTTTACAATTTAAAAGTACAAAATTTTTAACACACCAATTGCTTCCAGTCAGTAATTATTTTTAAAAATACTAAAAATTATGAAAATTTTAAATCTTCTCGGCTATCACCCAGCTGTTGCCTCAGCCTGCAAAACTTTTTCATTTTCGTTTCATTTTCAGTCTTGTCCATGATTAAAATAAGAACAAGGGATTTTGAAAATGGTGAAATTAAACATCACATAAAGGCAATCAGTAGTCTGGTGAAGAACCTAACATGTTACTGCAGCAGACGAAATAGGAGCTGCGTAGCTGATGCTAATGCCAACCAAGCTTTTAGGCTAAAAAAAGAAATAGCTAAAAGCATGCATATAAACATGTATCTGATGTCCTGTGTGTAATCGGCAGGGTATCTCTGTATAGACAGTTTGATTAGCAATTTAAATAAATCAGTATACTCTCACATCTTACGAGCAACTAAAATTATTTTTATGACCTTAAAAATAAGATAAAAAAATAAGATTAAAAAAATCTAAATTATTTCTGGAAAATGATTATAAGAAGGAAAAAAAAAAAAAGGCAAAAACAAGCTAAATGAAATATTATTAATTGTTCAATTTATATTATTATTGTTTTTTAAAAAAATATATAATTTATTATCTGTATTGTAATTTTTACATTTGTATATAAGTGTATATATTTATTTATTTTTATCACACTGTTTTAATGTGCTTTGTGCACTCTTTCTCTGGTGTGCTGCCCCCTGCAGGATGTGGAGAACATCTTCAGTCGTATAGTGGACATCCACGAGGTGACTCTGAAGCTGCTGGGGCTCATCGAGGACACGGTGGAGATGACCGACGAGGGAAGCCCTCACCCCCTGGTGGGCCGCTGCTTCGAGGACTTGGCTGAGGTCTGACTCCGCACAGCTTAGTATCGGGCAGTAGTCTGCAGCTCCTAGTTTAAAAAAATCTGGTTGAATCACGCACACTCATGCATCTTTAATTCTGCTCGAAGGAGCTCTACTTTTGATGAAAGCCGTGATGGTGTTTTAGCTTCAGGGTTCTGCTGTTGTAATTAGAGCTGCAGGAATTCAGGGTGGAGTCATTCCTTCATTGTTAACGCCTGGGTGGGTGGGTCCTTTTTCAGGAGCTGGCCTTTGACCCCTACGAGACGTACGCTCAGGACATCCTGCGGCCCGGATTCCATGACCACTTCCTCAGCCAGCTCTCCAAACCTGGAGCAGCCTTCTACCTCCAGGTCAGAGGTCGTAGCTCACCTTAAAACACATAATAGCAGTCAGATATGTATTAGAGCCATATGTGCATGGTCATTCATACCAAAATACAGAAGTTTTTAATGACGCATGGTCCAGTGTGGAAATGAATACAAGGAAATAAGAATGTTTTAATATTTCTGTTCAGTATCTCTTTTTTTTTTCTCTCTTTCTCAGTCAATATGTGAAGGCTTCAAAGAGGCCGTGCAGTATGTATTACCTAGGCTGCTCCTGACCCCAGTTTACCACTGCCTCCACCACTTTGAGATCTTAAAGGTGAGCGTCTTGTCGAGTAGTCACATTTGTACACATTAAAGCCCTAGCCATCAGTAAGAAAATCGGGGGTCCAGGTTGCTCTAGACTACCAGACGTACTGGCAGACTGGCAGATGCCAGAGTAATGGACTACAGGACAGACTGACAGACTACCAGACAATTACGATGGACTACCAGGTGGAGTGAAAGACTACCGGATGGAATGATGTACTTCCAGATATAGTGAGACCGAAACTGAACTGAACAACGGAGTGAGACGGATTGCCAGACGTGCATACTGCGTGACAAATTGCCAGAAGGAGTGAGACAGACTGGCAGACGGAGTGACAGACTACTAGACAGCTATGACAGACATCCAGATAGAGTGAGACAGCCAGCCAGCCGGACGGAGTGAGACAGACAGACAGCCGGACGGAGTGAGACAGCCAGCCAGCCGGACGGAGTGAGACAGACAGACAGCCGGACGGAGTGAGACAGACAGACAGCCGGACGGAGTGAGACAGACAGACAGCCGGACGGAGTGAGACAGACAGCCAGTGAGACTACAAGACAATGACGATTGACTACTGCTTGAGTTTTAGTATCAGGAATTATTATAATATGCTTGGTATTAGCATCAAAGTTGAAAATATAATTACGTTAAAGTGACACGTCTGCCAAAATAAAAACACGTGCCTCACAGATGGGTGACACTTCCACTGTTTGGTGAAGATCAGACTATTATATTTTTATTTATTTTATTTTAAGCTCAGTGGGAAAGAGCTGCTATTCTTAAAGTTATTTTGTGAATAGTACAAGATTTATATTACTGTTTTTTATATATATATATATGTTCAAATCTATTAAAAAAGGCGTTTTACATGCATAGACCTATAAACTTTGGTGACAGTAAGCAATAAATGAGCAAGTGTTGGACAAAGTTACAAAAATGGCATTAACTAGCCTTCTTTTGAGACCTTGGGTCCTGTTGGTGTGGAACACGGGTAGAATCACAGATCTCTTTAAATTTGTGTTGCATATGCCAGTAATTCTGTTTCGAAGCTCTCTCAGGGCTTTGACCATCTCAGGAATGGGTTCAGTAGGTAGAAGGTTTTGTAAGGTAAATTCCTGTATGTTGTTTAAAGTTCAGCTGAAGTCACAAGGGCCGTACCACGTGTCTGGAAGAGTATTAGTTTGTTGTGTGTGTTTTGCATTGGAATCGAGGCGCTAAGCCTCTTTTCAGGATTCTTTTGCAGAAGGGATGTAAATCTGTCTGAAATGCCTTGAAATCCTTTGCTGCTTTATGCATATT